GCTTATAAAACAATAAAAAGCAAACACATGACGAATTAAACTGAATTTAATTTGACTTTAAACATGCTGAGTGTTCCTCATGTGAGCCATGATGACATGAGGTGATGACTGTGTTTGATATGAAGCTGAATCCAGTGTATGTAGTGAACTTTGTGCTGATGAGTAGTTTAGTGATCAGAGTCCATGTAGTTTCCAGGATCAGACTGAATGCAGTGCAGTGCTGGAAGCTGCTGCTGACTGTGTGAATGTGTGTCTGTGCTGCTTGTTGCTGCTGTCAAACTTCAGATGAGCAGGTAGTGAAGCCCGTGGTGAGCGTGTACCCAGCAGCATCCAGAGCCCACCTGGAGGGGAACAGCTCCCTGCTGTGTGTGGCCTCAGCCATGTTTCCTCCTCTGGTCCAGTTCTCCTGGAAAAGACAGAAGAAGAACGGCGGAGAAGCGGAGGAGCTGCCCCCTGCTGAGGGAGAGCAGCTGGAGCTCAGAGAGGCGGGACGCACCATTGCCATCAGGATGCTTGATGGGAGCCATTCTGACACATATAAATACAGCTGCTGGGTGAAGCACGAGGGGGGCACAGTGGAGGCCCAAACACAACAAGGTAATGAAGGCTTGCTGACTGTGTTCAGCAGTGATTCAGCTTCATGTGGAGATGCTGTCAAAGAGAGCAGAGCAGCAGAGGACTGACATTTCTCACTGCAGCTCCAAACATTTGACTCCTTTTCTGTTTCAGAGCTTCCAGCTCCAGCAGCCTCCTGTCCTCCAGAGAGAGAGCCAGCAGACCTGCCAGCTCTGCAGCCAGCTGACTGTAAGATCACCTGCTGCCTCTCTGCATGGACAGCTCCAATGTCCAATGAGGGAGCTGGAACAAGTTTAGGCTCTTAAAGTTGCACTAATTGATCAAATCTTCATCCAACAAGCTCTGATAAAGCCACTGTACACTAGCTGCTCAGCACCAAACAGCAGACAGACCATAATATGTCAGAGATCAGTTTGTTAGCTGCTTGTGGAGTTCTTCTGCCCCCAAGTGGACACAAACACTACATCAATTCATCCACTTGAAGAAGAAGCTGTGACTGTTTCTATTTGGACTTTTTCTCCTTGATCTGAGAGGAATAACCCGACTGTCTGTCTGTCTCTTTGTGTCTGTCTGTCCTTCAGTGTCCTTCCAGTCTCAGTGCAGGGTGAAGCTGCTCTGCCTGCTGTACACAGTGCTGATAGTGAAGAGTCTGGTGTACTGCTGTGGACTCTCTCTGCTGATGATGCTCACAAACAAGGGAGCGTCCACCAACTGCACACATGCTGACTGACTGTTTCCTGCTCGCCTTTTCTCACCATCACATCTCATCAATTCATCTCATTCATCACTTTGATCACAAATGTTAGTTATGATGTGTTGTGCTTATTTTGCCTTTTTCTTCAACAGTTAGAAGATCATCTGAAATAAATACATCTTTACATGTATTGTTGCTCTGAGTTAGAATTCTTTTTGTACTTATTGTGACTTTTATTGTAGTAACAAAAACCATCAGGAATATTTTTATCACAAGTTTTTGTTTGATTTTCAAATGTCAAACAGTGTAGTTGTGTTTGTGTGAACAATAAAGATTTGAAGATGAAGAGTTTGATTCTACTTTCATTGTGTGATCAACAACAACCCGTGTGAGTGAAGCACAAACTGACTGTATCCAAACTTGCTCTCCTGCAGCAGACGGGCTGTGTGGGTTTCTGCTCTGCAGCCTCCACACCGTTAGCTGTGGCTTTTCACTTTAATAACACAATGACAGTTACAAGCATGAACTCTGCTTCAAGAATGATTCCAGGAAGGATCTGTGTTCTTCACCTGTGAGAGAAACAGCTCAAATCCTCAACTCACAGCTGACAAATGAACTTTAATGGACTCAAAGGAGAGACCATGAAGCCCCTGCAGTCTGCTCAGCTCCCATTTTATTACAGTTTGAAATGAAACACAAGATGAAGAAGAAATATGACATCATAGAGAATATGGAGCATTTCATTTTTAGTAGTTTATTTAATATTTTAAATTTCCTGAATATGGTGAACACCATTCTTATCATTTTTAACAATCACATATTTAGAGAAAAAGACGTTCATGATGAATAATACCTGTCAAGAAATTTATTCTAAGAGACACTTCTTCAGCTGAGAGTCAGAGAGTGGAGACACACACGCTGCAGATTTTACTTGCAAGGGCGGTCACAGAGCAAACACACCAGAGTGGGGGCCCTGTGAAGTGCGCGCTCTGTTCTTGCACTTGTCTTTACTTATACACAAGAAAAATGAAAACATTTGTTCAGTGGAATATTGATACGTGTGTGTGTGTGTGTGTGTGCGAGGTCAGAACTGCTTGTTCAGCTTATATTAGAGCCAATAAAAACACAATGTAGTGTGTTTATTTTTCTTAACACTGGCATTTAGTTGCAATTAACCATTAACTGAGTGGTGAATGATTTTTATAATGTCAATGATAATACTACAATACACACATTTTGTTATTTTAGATTTTCATTACTTGTAGTTAGTGGAATGCATTTGGATTGTTAATGTTTTCAGGTGAGTAATATATTTGTATAGCACTTTACTAGTCCCTAAGGACCCCAAAGCGCATTACACTACATTCACCCATTCACACACACATTCACACACTGGTGATGGCAGCTACATTGTAGCTACAGCTGCCCTGGGGCGCACTGACAGAGGCGAGGCTGCCGGACACTGGCGCCAGTGGGCCTTCTGACCACCACCAGCAGGCAAACATGGAGTTAGTATCTTGCCATGCAGCCAGGAGGCAGCCTGGGATCGAACCACCTTCTGATTAGTCGCTGACCTGCTCTGCCACCTGAGCTACAGCCACCCTATTAGAAAAACATAAGACTGTTAGATAGACTCATGAATAAAATTTCCTTTGAAAGAAATCTGATTGAGAAACTTTTTACTAAAACTAACCCTAACACAAGTAAGTTGTGACGCCAAGAGAGCAACGCAAAGTCACTGAATGTCTGGCCAAAAGAGCACAAAACACACAGCGACAGAAACACAAACAGAACAAACACCAGCACATCATTATTTTAGTAGTTCAGTCAAAAAGTTCTCAGACATGTCAGAGGAGTCTGTGCACACAAGTTTGATTCTTTCAAACTGTGGCCAATAAGTTCAAACACTAGTAAACTATGAACAATCAAATATCTTTGAGACATTTCCAAGCTGAAAAAAAACAACGAAAGTAGACTGATTCTTACTTAGTACAGTTCTACTCTCCCAGAGCACTCAAAGTGTTCATACAACACGATACATTCACATAAGCACTTTCATCTGTGTTTTAAGTGCTTACTAGCTAACATTTGCATTCCAATGGATGTATTGGAGAGCAACGTAGGGTTAGTGTCTTCCCCAGAGATGTGCAAAATAAAGACACTTCAAAATAATAATACAATTAACCGGTCAAAAGAAAAAAAGGAAATACAATAATAAAAACAGAAAAAATCTGAAGCTTTAACACTTTCAAGCCCAGCATATCGTATTTCATACATCTGTTTTTGTGAGTTTCTGAGACTTCCACATCATCAGTGTGGCTTTTTTTTTTTACCCTCAAAAAATGATAAATAGCATGACACATTTTTAAGGACTAAATTGCCAAAAAATAGCTAATGTAGCAAATTTGATACAAATTAAAACTCATATATATGCAGATTAAAATTTGATATATTTTATATATATTTTGTCTAAAGGTTCAACAAACACTCCATTAAAGATTTCAGGCAGTTATTTCATTGTTCAGGTTTTAAAGGGTTGAAAAAAAAAGAAAAGTGACTCTCTTACTGAGTTTAAAACCACCGAATAGCGAAACGTGTCCATATTAGGGCAGACTGCATGTAGTTTAACTGTAGAAGCAGGCAAACTCACAAAGGCGCAATAGCTTCCTTTAAACGTGTCTAATGTGCCCACTGCAGGGGCTGATGGGAGCTTTGAGGACCTGTTAGAAACCACGTGGCCCTCGTCTGATCTCACAGCTCGTCCTTGTTTGGCCTCAGCTGCATCAGAGCGCCACTTCTCCCCAGGTTCACCAGAGGAAACACCACTGCACAAAATGCTTTTCCTCCCAGCTGCTGCTCTGTGCTGTCTGTGTTCAGGTGAGTGTTTCCAGCCAATCAGGAGCCAACAAAGTCAACCTGTAACAAACACTGTCACACTAACCTTCATCTATCTGTCTGTGTCTCTACAGCACTGGTTACCATGGCAGCAGAACAGCTGATTCAGGAGGGTTTAACACTGACCAGGAGAGTTGAAGAAAATGTTTTCTTCAGCTGTGGAGGGACTGAACAGTGTAGCAGCTATGTGTTCTGGTACCAGAAGAAAGAAAATGAAACATTCAAAGCAATTCTGCGTATTAATAGGAGAGATGGTGCAGTTTCTTCAGATTTCGGTCATCCTCAGAAAGATGATTTCTCAGCAGTGAATAAACAGAATGGCTTTGTACGCTTGAAGATAGACAATGTTAAACTCGCTCATTCAGGCGCCTACTACTGTTCCTGTTACAAAGCAGGTTCCCACAGTGAGAAATGATCCCTGCAGCCTGAACAAAAACCAACAGATGAACAGATGTCAGACAGTGTCTGTGACAGGAAGAGAGCAGTAAACCACAGCCCAGCTTCACATGTTTCACCTCCATCTCAGAGTCACTTTTTTCTTTTTTACATTTAAAAGTTTAAAAGAAATCACAGAGAAAATTCTAGATATCACAAAGGTTTAGAAATTAATGAATTTAGGTTTGTAAGTTTTTGGACAATGCAGGATTGATTCTTTCTGGCTTCTATCCCATCGAAATCCATGGCATGTTTTTATTGAAAGGGAACAAAGTAATTAAGCAATAAACAATTAACCAATGTCCCTGGTACCAGAGACAAAGGGGAGAACATCTGGTTTACCGGGATGTAATACCAGATCTCTTATTTAAATATAGACACGTGTGGTTCCACAAAATGTCAGAATCTCAGCTAAGAGCTCACAAAACTATTTCAGCAACAGCTGAAACAGCTGTTTGTTGTTGTAGCTGATTAAAGAGCAGGTAAACTGATTCCGTAAAAACATATAAAAACAAAGTGCGGATTCCCCCATTAACCAGGCAGAAAACACACAGACATGCCGACAGGTGCCTAAAGCCAACGTCGCACAGATCCCAAAACTTTAGGTTTCGTTATTCTCCCACCAAAATTCACTGAACCAGCAGCAGAACATTATAGAACTGTGCTTCACATTTGAAAAACATTGTAAAGAATTCCCACTTACTTTTGCTGTCTTGCTTCCATCACAATAAAATTCCACTTCCTGCACAGCTCTATTTCTGTGTGCTTGTCTCGTGTGTTTTTTTCCCTGGAACACTCTCTCACAGTCTGTTCTCTAAAACCTAAAAGAGGAATTATGGATTTGATCAACTGGTCTCTTAATGCAATTGACACCCCTTCTCAACGAGAAGTCTTGGCTTGGGGGAGCCTGACTGCTGAAGATATCTACCTATTCGGAACCATGATAACAGGGTTCTTGCTGATCGGAGCGGGCTTGGCCCTGACTTATCGAAGAATTAAGGAAGCGGAACTGGCTGTTCAAACCCCCACAAGGCTGCCCGCTGGGATTGGAACGATGGGATGAGGCGTGAGTTTCTAAAAATGGGCTCATTGAGTGCAGCACGGAGAAGATCTTGGAGAACTCACGGCTGCCGTGAACACTCAGAACAAGACCTCTGAGTGAAAAACTGGATTACATCTGGAGGGGCTAGCTCGAACAACACCTTTGAGCGCAAATTCGATCACATCTTGGAGCAGCTCACTGCGGTCGTGAGTTCTCAGAATCGTCTCTTTGAGCAAAAAGAACGACAACATCACGAAACGTAAGTTTGGATAACATCATAGAAAGCTCACGGCTCTCCAACGGGAGATTGAGAGACCAGTGTTGGACTGTTAGAACAGCTTTGAAATTCATATGAGTTGTTCGCACTAAAGTAAAAACCACCATCACTTCATGCGGAGACCCCTTCGGCGCCAGCTGTGGTCTCAAGGCTGGAGCTGAACAAAACACCCTGATAACGACTGTGTTTAGTCTGTTCCTTCCCATACCATGCAAGGCCACCTGGGTTGGCTGGAAGACTGTTTACTTAGCCTGGCGGGGCGAAGGACACTGTCTCAGCTGAACTCTGGACACACACACACACACATACACTGATATGCACACACTCATCCCCCCTCCCTTTCCAAAGCCTTCGATGCGCCTACCGGGGAAGATGGCAGTCGACTGGACCAGCGCAGACATGCTGCAGGACCGGATGCGCTGTCTACACCGGCTCTCTCTCACCCTTTACCCGCCCCTGTTGCTTGTCTTGTGTTTCTATGGTGTATTGATAGTCATGTGCTTTTTGTGCTGAGGTGTTTTTTCTGTTATCAAACTGTTCTCCCACTAGGAGCTCAGTCTGAGTGGAGTTTTTTTTCTCCTCCTCTTACCTCATGTTATGTATTTTCGTTGTTTTTTTCCTATCAGCCTACCTTTCTGACATGTCTCCCCAATGTGATGTTTGTGTAAAGTTGGTCAGAAGGTTCCTTTGTAAGTGCGCATGCGCCATTAGCGTGCTGCCTGCTGTAACCCTAATTTCCCTCGGGATTAATAAAGTATTCTGATCCTGATTCTGATTCTGATTTGAGACCCGAGAAACTATCCCCATCGCCTGATTTAGGCTGGGAGAGTAAATTGGCCAGAGGAAATCTGGTTGCAGCAGGAAGTAATCCAAGCAGAGTGTCATGGTCCTGAGTCTGACAACTCAGTGTTTTGTGTTTCCTTGTATTATTCTATGTTCTTGTTCATTCTGGTTATGTGTTTTGTTAAGGTTTGCCATTTGTTAGGTTTCTGTTCTGCC